CCCAGGGCCGTGGAACTACTGCCTCTCCTCTCTCCACTGGGTGTCTGGGGTACTTCCTTGTTGAGATGTAGATGCCACCTACCCAGCCCAGCCCAGCTCCCTCCTGGCTGCTCCAGGTTCCCCTGCTGCTTCTGGAGCCCAGATGGCAAAGGAACAAAGACTCCTGATTTCTGAGTCCTGCTCCATCAGTTTGTGTGCCTGTCCCCTTTCCTGCCACTTCCCAGAATTCCCCTTTAGCCTATTGTCCTCCTCCCATCCCTAAGAGGTTCTCCTCCTCATGCCTGCCCTTCTCTTGGGCCCCAAGGGAAGCCACTGGGCTGGGCAGTGGGGGCCCACCCATGTCCAGCCTGAAGTACTGTAGTCAGCCCTGGCTCCCCATATTCCAGAAGACCCTAGCCTCAGGCAGGGGTGGAGCCCACCTGTTTCCCCCAATGCACTTAGCAGGCTCCAAGGTAGGAGGTCCTCTGGCCTATAGGCTTGGGGAGGAAATTATCCAGACTTCCAGAAGAGGGAGGGCCCTGAGGCCACCTCCCCCCTGCCCCAGGAGGCCAGCACTTTCCCACATCGCAGAGTCTGGCAGGTTTAGCTCCAGAGACACTCAGTGCAGCAGTATCTCCGGGCCTGACTTGTTTGCAGAAAGGTGCTGACGGAAGCACGCTAAACTCCTTTCAAGAATAAATCTTGCTGCTGGGTCTGCTGGAAGAGAGAAGCGGGGAGCTTAGCACCAGGGTAGAATCGGGTTGCCCAAGGCTGAGTGCTGGCCAAACCCCAGTGTCCCCAGCTCTTATGTAGGGGCAAGAAAGGTATCTTCCTTGGTGGCTTGTGTAGAGTAAATGAGATTCACCCACCTATTAACTACTGTGAGTGCATAATAAATAGTGGAGTTGAAAAAGAAAGCAGTTGTTATCAGCAGTCTTAATGTGGGTGTTGGCTGGCTTCCTAGCAAGAATGGAATATTGGGCTCACCCCAGGATGTGGGGGCTGAGAGGGAGGGGAAGGGACTCCCTGAGGCTGAGCCCCCCAGTGGCATAGCTGCTGCTGGCCTGCCCTCTGGCTTTTCCTTGTTTATCTCATTTCCACTGTCCCTGATGCAGGCCACTGTCTGATTAGATCCCTCCAGCAATTCTGATGTTGTTGTTGTTGTTAAGTGCCATTGAGTCGGTTCCAACCCATAGCGACCCTGTATAAGGTTTCCGAGGAGCAGCTGGTGAGCTTGAATCGCCGACCTTGCAGTTCAAATGGCTTTGCAGTCTGGCACATTAACCCACAGCGCTACACCTGGACTTCAGCAATGCTCATATACCCCCATTAAACAGGTGAGGAGACTGAGGCTCCAACTGAGGCCCGAAGTATCGCTGCTAGAATGGAAGCCCTGCTGGCTTTGGGCTGCCAGGAGCACAGCTGTTGGCCTTCGAGGAGTCTGTCCAGTCAGAGTGTGGTTAGATACTGTCCCCCCCCCCCCCCCCCCCCCCCGTGTTGGCTGGTTCTGCTGTGTGACTCGCCTGTGAGTCCTGGTACAGATGTCCCCTGGTCTCACAGCCCTCCCCAGGCCTCATTCAGGTTCAGGCACTCAACAGCGTTCACAGTAGCTGCCCTAGGTCTTGGGCCATGAAGAGAAACACTGTGAACCTGATCCCTGGAGCTCTTAAGGTGAATGTGATACTGGTAGTGAATGCGGGGGCAGCCCAAGGGGTGGGGAACAAGGCCATTAGTTTTCTAATAGTTTGGACATATAGATCCTCAAGTCCACAAGGTTGTCTTCTTATGAGGGCAGGGAGTCACTTTGCGATTTTAAATCTGGAGCATCCACTTGCCTTATAAACGTGTGGAACACTGGCCTCAAAGTAGCCATCCCCCTGCTTCCATGCCCACTGCCCCTCTCAACAAACCAGGGCAGAGGGAAGGACTTCTAGAGGAAGCAGGAGCCTGGTGTGAATGAATGAATCATAATGGATTAACCTTGACAACTCCTCTTAACCATGGGTCCCTTCCTCACTTCTTGATTCGAGGACTTCTGAGACTATAAATCTTTATGGGAGCATATTGCTTCATCTTTCTCCCATGGAGGAACTGATGGGTTTGAATCACCGACCTCTGAGTTAACAACCCAACACTTAACCCTCTGTGGTGCCAGGGAAGACACGGATCTAAACCAGTGGTCGGAGGGTGGTCAAGGTACGATGCTTAGAGGAGGCCACAACTCGATTGAGATGCATGACAATTTGCTAGGCAAAGACAGAGGAAAACAGTAGCATGTGCAAAGGCACTGAGGCAGGTGTGCTGGGGTCCCGGGGGTTGGGGGGGCTGCTGGAACATGTCAGGGCAGGGGGCGAGAAAAATAGAGTGAGAGAGAAAGGGAGAGAGACACGGGGAAGTCAAGGGAAAGGGTTTGACAAAAGATAAGGTTGTCTGGGCTGGAATTTGAAGGAGGCCTTGTATGTTATGGTAAGGATCTCAGCGTTTACACCAAAACCACAGGGAGCTGTTGAGAAGGTTTTTAGGCAGGAGAGCACTGTGATAAGATTTGTGTTAGGATATCACCCCAGCAGCCTCATGGAGGATGGATTGGAGGGGCCGAGGCTGGAGGCAGGGGGATCAGTTAGGATTGCTTGGGATTTTCTCTGTGGTTTTACACATCCGACAAGGGTGCCCAGGGTAGGCATGGCACGCACCAGCTTAGCAAAAGACAAGCTCTGGAGACCCGCTCTATAATGTGTAACAGTTTCTTGACTCAGTGTAGTTCACCTTCCATCTGCTGATTTCTGAGTTGCCTACCCTTACCCCAGCCTCCAGGGACAACTGACCCGCATTTGCAGGCCTATGTCCTCCCTGGAGGTTTCAGATCCTGGGGGCCTCAGCATTTGATCTGAAAGGTTAACACTGGTCTGAGCCTCTTGGGGCCTTTGTCCTGAGCCTCCGGCCTCTCACAGGGCCTGCAATATCAGGCCCTAAGAGTTCAAACATTGTCTTTCCTCTCACACCCACACAGAGCAGCCATTGAGCAGCTGCGGGGGCCTGGCGGGGGTCCCGGGCCACATTAGTTACAGGCAGCAGCTTAGTCACGCTCCAAGGAGCCTTTCTTCTTGGGACAAGCTTGCTCTTGTGCTAAGGGCCTTCCATGCACAGCAGCCCAGCTCGTGGCAGCTGCAGAACCTTCTGCCATCCCTGACAGCGGGCTTTAGTGGGGCCACTAATGGGAACTGAAACCCTGGGTGGGAGAGGGACAGCCCCGGAGGGCTACCTCAGAGCCCTTCTCCTCACCAGGTGCAGTGACCCGCTCCCCACCCCAATACTTCTGTGCACAGGTGCACAGCCCGATACACAGTCAGTCCTATTCCTTTGTTTCTGGCTTGATGGGCTCAGGAGGTCCAGGGGAGCCATGCTAGCTCCCACCCTCCCTCACTAGGTTAAAGACCTAGGTTAAAGCTGACCAGCCTCCACAGAAGCACGTTCAAAACACAGCTCGAAGTACCAATGCACCCCTGGGAGTCATCGCAAGCACGTGTATTGAGCACCTGTTGCATACTCAGACCCTGGGCTTGTTGTTGTTAGCTGCCTTTGAGCCAGCCCCAAATTGTGGTATCCCCATGCACAATAGTGAAACAATGCCCAGTCCTGCACCCTCCCTATGATCACATCCTTGGGATCCATAGCATTTCCATTGTCTGATCTTCAGAAGCTGATCACCAGGTTTTCCTTCCTAGCCTGTCTCAATCTGGAAACGCCACTGAAACCTGTTGGACATCAGAGCAACACTTATATCTCCACTGACTGATAGCTGTGCCTGAAGTTGGGGATCAAAGTTGGGTTGAGGTGCAGCCACGATTGTGGTGGTCTCAGTATAGGCTGGCCTGTGGAGTAGTGAAGAGCGTGGGCTCTGAAGACAGAATGTCTGTGTGCAAACTTTGACTCCTCTATTCACCAACTATGTGCTTGTGGGAGAGTTGCATCACCTCCTTTGGCCTCAGTTTTCTCATCTGTAAAATGGGGATATTATTCATCTTGCTGGATTGGTGTGAGGATAAATGAGCTAATATGTAAAATGTAGTCCTGGTATGGTGCTGTAGGATATGCACCAAAGTCTTAACCATAAGGTCAGTGGTTCAAACTCACCAGCCACTCCTCAGAAATCCTACAGTCACTACAAGTCAGAACCAACTAGACAGCATTTAACAGCAACAACGACAATGTGTAAAATTCAGACCTCCGTCCCTGGCACATAATAAGGGCTCAGTAAAAAAGTTGCCGTACCTCCTTCACTTTCCACCTCATATTGCTATCATTGTTAGAGAGTCCCTGGTTAGGGAAAATTTATAAAACAGTTGGCTGATGACTGAAAGGCTGGAGCTTCAAGTCCACCCAGAAGTGCCTTGGAAGAAAGACCTGGTGATCTACTGTAGAAAAATCAGCCATTGAAAACTCTAAGTCATTTCTCCTCTGAGTTGTTGGAGTTGGAATCAGCTCAATGGCAACTGGTTATCGTTATTAGATGTTCACTGCAGTTTGAGAGGCAAAATGTTACCCCCATTTTACAGATGGAGGATGCTGAGGACTTGCAAGGTTAAGCATCTCACTGAATGTCACACAGCCAGGGATTCGAACCCAGCTCTTTGTCCCATGCTCCTGCAACATAGGTGCCTCTAGCACAGATATGGCAAGTGCCCTGAGCCTGCAACAGTTGGGACAGTGGATTCACCTATGGCTTCTAAATGCTTTCTCTCCACCTTTCCAGGTTTCGGAGCCAAGAAAACAGGGGTACTGGAGCTCAGGAATGGCTAAATCCATGACACTTGGGCAGAAGGTGTGGTTGCAGGGCCTGTTGGCCGCTGGGGAAGAGTGATGGTGCCCTTTGAAGACTTGCTTGAAACTGCGAGGAGAAAACAGGCTGGCTCCAGGAGCCAGGATGCAGGGATGACGCCTCTGGGAGTCTCGGCCTCCCTCCCGCCCGGGCGCTAGGAGCCATCCCTAGGCTCCAGCCAGGAGCCCTGCCGCCCAGGGGCATGGCCAAACCTTTCTTCCGACTCCAGAAGTTTCTCCGCCGAACACAGTTCCTGCTCTTCTTCCTCACAGCTGCTTACTTGATGACCGGCAGCCTGCTTTTGCTACAGCGGGCCCGAGTGGCCCTTCCCCAGGGCCCCCGGGCATCTAGCTCCCTGCAGACCTTACCTGTGGCTGCCGTGGCCCTGGGCATGGGCCTGCTGGACAGCAGAGCCCTTCGTGACCCCCAGGTCAGCCCCGATCTACTGCTCGGTGTGGACATGCTACGGAGCCCCCAGACCGGAGCCCGGCCTGGACCTCGCTGGCTGCGGAGCCGCAACTCGGAGCTGCGCCAGCTGCGGCGGCGCTGGTTCCATCACTTCATGGGTGACCCCCAGGGACCACCTGCTCTGGGCCCCGAAGCCCCCAGGCCAGCTGCTCACAGCCGAGGTAGGTGCTCAGCCTTGGTCCCCCTTGCATCCTGGGGCCCTGCTCCCAGGAGCTCTGCTGGGACTCACAGGCCTGGGGTCCCTCTCTCTGGCCTTGGTGGCAGCCTGAGAAGTAAGTGCTACAGCCTGCGACCTTCACAGTGGCTCCCTCCTGCTCTGAGGAGCCCGAGAGGGCCTGCCATGTCCAGTCCTTCGGGCCTCCTTCACTCACAGCTGGAATTCTCTTGGATCCCGGCAGATGTGAGAGCAGGTTACTCAGAACTCACACTCTAGGTTCAGACCAGCTTCAGCTCTGCCACCAACTTGTGTGACTTTAGCCATCACTTAACTTCTTCAGGTTCCTCTGAAATGGAGATTCAGGTACCTACCTATCCCAAGGCTATTGTGAGGATTAAATGGGCTAGTGTAGAATAAACAACAACAACAGCAAACAACTCACTATAATTTAGTCATGATGATAGAATAGAGTAGAGTAGAATAGAATAGAATAGAATAGAATAGAATAGAATAGAATAGAATAGAATAGTCCCTTAGGGTTTTTAAGACTAAATCTTTATGGATGCAGCCAGCTTTATTTTTCTCCTGTGGTACAGATGGTGGGTTTGAACCGCCAACCTTGTGGTTAGCCCAACACCTAGTCCTCAGCGTCACGAGGGCTCTGGTTCTCAAAGTGGGGTCCTAGGCCAACAGCATCCCCATCACCTGAAAAATCATTACAAGTGCAAATTCTTTCTTTTTCCCAGATCTATGGGCTCAGGAACACTGGGTGTGGCTCTCAGCTACCTGTGAATTATTGTTGTTGTTAAGCCAGTTCCTATTCATAGTGACTCTGTATTGGGTTTCCAAGAGCAGCTACTGGGCTTGACCCACTGACCTTGCAGTTACCAGCCCAGTGCTTATCCTCCAGTGCCACGTGAGAGTTTAATCTGTGGATTGTTGTTGTTGGTAAGTACCATCAAGTCAATTCTGACTCATAGTGACCTATACAGCAGGGATGGGGAACATCCAGCCCGTGGGCTATATAAGGCCCTCATCTAGCCCTGCCAAGGCAACTGCAATTCCAGCTATCACAGTTGTTGTTGTTGTTGTTAAGTGCTGTTGAGTCGGTTCTGACCCATAGCCACCCTGTATAGGGTTTCCAAGGAGCGGCTGGTGAGCTTGAACCACCGACCTTGCATCACAGTAGAGGTGAGTTCATTGTTTGACCAGGCTAATTTTTAAGTTGATTATTTTGTGTGGCCAGCAAATGATGTTATAAATTTTAGCAGAAAAAAGTTTCCCTACCCCTGCTGTACAGGCTTTCTGAGAAGCAATTGGTGGGTTTGAACTGTCAACCTTGTGGTTCACAGTCCAGTGCTTATCCTACAGTGCAACCAATGCAAATTCTCAGCAGAGGACCAAGCCAGAAAGGACTGATCAGAAACTCTGGTATTAGCACGCTCCTTAGCCACGTGATTGGGATGCTTCAGGTTAGGTTAAACTTGCCTTGCAGTTGATTCTGATGCAACCTTAAAATGGGCCCTCTAGCTGTGTGTTCCTGGTGCATGCTTAGGATTGAGACCCACTGGGATAGAGGACCTACTGTGTCTTGTGGCACTCCATAAATGGCATCTGCTGTTATTTAATAAACATAGCTAACCCATTTACCGGGCACCTGTGAACTAGACATTACTATTAGATCTCAGTTTTACAGATGACAAAACTAAGGCACGGAGAACAATAAATTGCCCAAGGCCACTCTCTTAGCAACTCCTGAAACAAGGATTCGAATGAACTTGTAGACTATTTGATTCCAGGAACCCCTGGGAAGAGTGTGGGCAGTAAGACAGGAGGGAAGCAGCCAGTAAGAGGTGCGTGACCGGGCTCATAAAGTGTTAATGCCTGTCGCTGCAGGGTCCCACTCCAGTGCTGAATACTAACAATTTTGAGCAATCAGTGCCCCTGATAGGTTGTTAAATATTAATTACTGCACTCACCCCCTCCTCAAGATTTAAGGAAGAGTTTGCTCTCCCTGCAGAACGTGGAAACCAATGCTGGGAGGATCTGTGGGGTCACCTGACTGGAGACCCTCTCGAGAAGAGGTAAAGACCTGAAAGCCCCTTTGGGTTTTTCTTCCCCCCCTGGGGATCCATGGGCCCTCCATAGCCAGGCCAGCCTCCCAGGTTGGCCAGCCCAGGAGACAGCTGCAGGCCGCAGACAAAGCCAGAGTCTCTTTGTAGCTGGGCAGCCCGCCATGGCTCCTGAAAGGGGCTCCAAATCCTTGGAAGCTACAGGGGGCTCCATCAGTCACTGCGCATGTCATTATACCTTGGACAGCATCCATAATGAAATAAAATGTCAGTAAGTTTACTAGGGGAAAAATAGTAACTTCTCCATAGCCAATTTGTTTTTTATTGATAGTAATTTCCGAAGACATTCCAATATCTCCAAAGCCATCGTTAATAGCCGCACGGCATGTCCATTTTGATGTACAAATGAACAGATGTGGAGTCACAGACAATAATACATCCCTTCCATTTCATCCGAAAGTAATAAACCCGCCTCTGAATGTGTCCCAGCGAATCCCTCAGAAGTTCTCTCTTTACTGCACATTCTTGCCTCTGTCAGCGAGTTAGAAAAGCCGTTAGGAAAAAAAGGCTTGATCACTAGCAGTGACCATCTGTGACTCAGTCCCTTCCTGCAAAGTGATCCAGGGCCAGCCAGGGGTCAGCATCCTCTCCCAACTGGTCAGTGCCATCCAATCACCAGCTGCTAACTGGGTAGCCTTTGCTTGATTTCAGAATCACCTGACCTTTTATTGCTTTAAACCAAGTAGTCTTCTTTTCCACAGTGTGTTCATTCAGCTGATACTAATCCACCAACACACTAGGTCCTAGGTCAGAGTATGGGATCAGCTTAATAATCGCTTTATTGGAACATCTGTGGTGTACCAAGCACTGTTCTGTGGTGATCGACATCTGTTGCCTCATTTAATTTAATCCTCAAACAACCTTAAGATGTAAGTGGTATTAAAAAAACAAAACCAATCCAGTTTTCATTGAGCCGACTGTGACTTCTGGTGACCCCCATGTGTGTCCGAGTGGAACTGTATACCGTAGGGTTTTCAGTGGCTGATTTTCTGGAACTAGATCTCCAAGCCTTTCTTCTTAGGTACCTCTGGGTGGACTTGAACTTTCAGCCTTTTGGTTAGCGGATAAGTACTTAATTCTTTGCATCGGCCAGGGACTCCGTAAGTGATGTTGCCCCTTATTGAGTCCCTGGATGAAATTGGGTTTCATGGATGTGATGTTAAAATGTTGATTATTGGGCACTTACTATATGCCAGGAGTCTTGGTGTGGTGCTGGGGGTTAATGCGCCAGACTGCAAAGTCGTTTGAACTGCAGGATCAGTAGTTGAAGCTCACCAGCTGCTCCTTGGAAACCCTATGCAGGGTCACTATGGGTCGGAATCAACTCAATGGCACTTAACATCAACAACAATAGCTATATGCCAATTCTTGCACTAAACACTTTACATGTTCTGCAGAATTCTCTTCGCAACCCCCTGGAGATGGCATTACATCTCCATTTTACAGATAGGGAAGCTGAGGTTCAAAAGGGAAAGTTGCACATGCCAGGTCACCCAGACAGAGTGGTAGAGTTGGGATTTGAACTTAAGTCTACCTGTTTTCAAAGGCAATTTCCATCCACTTCCCCAGAAAATGTGTACGTCACAGACCATTTTGGTTAATTTTCTCATCTACGGTGATAAATGTTTAGCAGCCCCTGAGCTTGTGTTTTTGGATGTCTAATTGAAACCTGTAATGTAATTTCTTTTTTGCTGAGCAACACAGCACAAATGTCTCAAATATTACTGCAGTTTTCTTTTACTAAGTAGGCAAGCTAAAAGAACATTTAATTCTCTCAGGCCTGGGTGAGAGCTTTCTGTGGCTGTCTATTCGGGTCTCGGCAGTCCTGAGATGTACACAGTGAGTGAGAGAGAAACTCAGAGGGGCCTGGGCATCTGGGCATTAGACCTCAGTTGTCAGTCACTGTTGAGTTGGCCTTGACCCATGCTGACTCCAGACACAGGGAAAGAAAACTCTGCCCAGTCCCATGCTATCCCATGATTAGTTGCAGATCAGACCATTGTGATCCACAGGGTCCTCACTGACTGATTTTCAGAAAGAGCTTTCTGGAAAACTTTTCTAGTTCATTTTAGTCTAGAAGCTCCTCTGTAACTTGTTCCGTATCATAGCTAAACAAGAGAGCAATGGTGGCCACATATGGAATGTACCAGTCTGGAATCAAGCCCAAATGTCCTGTACGGAGGGCACGAATCTAGCACTGGCGGGTTTAGCATGTGCATATTGACTCATGCTAGGTGTGGCCAGGTGTGGCCAGGTGTGTGCTGGGATGGAGTTACGGCCTTAAGAGGTTCATGGCCTCCCCTTAGTGGTCATCCCTTCCTCCTCTGTCGGAGTCCTGCTCCAACCGTCTCACAGGTACCTGAGGGAGGGGTGTGGATGAAGAAAAATATGGTCAAAAGGAAAGAACTGAGGAAAGGATACAAGCTGATGGCAAGTGACAAAGTTTATTTCAAATCTCCGAGTTTATATAGGGTGCTTCTGCAAGTCATTGTTGTTTTGCATAGTTACAAGTTTATCTTTTGCTGTGAACCACATGACCCTGGGAAAGCTACTTTCCCTGCATGTTTATCGTTTGCTGTGAATCACGTGATCCTCGGAAGGCTACTTTCCCTGTGTTGATAAACAGACTTTGTCTGGTTAGACCCAGACTTAAAGTTTTATGAGGCCTGTAAATCTTTTGGTCCCCAACACTCCTCCTTAGCCTGTGCTGTCTAACCTGAGCGTCTCTGGATCTTTCAACCCTTCCTTGTGTTGATAAAGATTCTAGTCTTCCGCCATCTTGGGCACCCTCTTTTGCTTTGCCTCTCTAAACAGTGGTCCTGGGTATTGCACATGATATAAAGTTAATAGGACCATCCCGTCCTTGAATCCGGGCTCTCTGCTCCTACTCTGGAGTCCCTCCATGATGCACACAGTTAACACATCAGCTGAAAGGTTGGAGGTTTGAGTCCACCCAGAGGATGTACATCTATTTCCCCTCAAAAAGACGTCTACCATTGAAAACCCAAAGGAAATGATATCGCTAAATTGCACACCTGAAAAATGTGGAATCGGCACATTTTTATGACACTTAAAAAACAAAACAAAAAGAAACCCTATTTTCCTTGTTGTACTCTGACACACATGGGATCGTCAGTTGAGTGACAACTGGATTGATTGGCTTCTACCCAGAACCTTCAGAGGTTGTCAGTATTGTTTTAGAAGCTATAATATGCTGCTGACATCAGTTGGCCTGGGTGATGAGTCATTGGGGGAAAGGGAGGTCACCAGGTAGAGTGAAGATGTGGCTCCTGCCCGCAAAGGGCCTGAAGTCATATTACAGAGACAGGACATACAGATTTAAAGATTTTAGCAGCTTCAGTTACTTTTAGAGATTCAAATGGCAGAGGAGGCTGGTGATGGTAGTTTTGTATTTTTTTCACTCAGACATAGAGCTGTATGAATTTGAAGAAAGGAGTGATCCGAACGGGCTGGAGTGGCCAGAAATCTAAGCCTTCAGGGACAATAGGAAGCAAAGGGTGGGCATCCATCCCTTTGACAGTTGAGGAAACCAAATCATAGAACATGAAGTGATCCAGCCAAGGCCAGGAGACACAGACAGGAACGCCCCCAGGAATGATGATTGGCAGGCCCACCCCTCTAAGCCCCACCCAGGAACAACTCCCAGAGGGACGGACCAGGCCTGTATTCCACACTGAAATGCCACCTGGGACGCTCTGGGTGTGTGACTTTCCAGAGACAGCCTAATTTTCTGGAGGCTCCTGTGCGTTCCACAGGTGACATTTCAGAGGCACCTAGGAGTGCGGATGCAGACATTTGCGGGAGACGCGTCAGGTCTTTATCACAGGTGTCGATCCTGATCTCAGCACAGCTATTGTGGGGGTGCGCTCACAGCTTGGGGACTGTGTGATTGCATGTTTGCAAATTCCCAAAGTGCCATTCTTCCCAAACACTGCAGTGTGCGTGACATTTACACGTTGAATGCATTTGCGTTGTACTTGTGGGAGAATTCTCAGAGCTTCTCTGGGCCTCTCTGGGAGACATCTTCTTGGTGACTCTGCCGGCACAAACGCCACATGACAGCTGTGTGGTTGGGTAAGCTCTGCCAGTGCTCCGTGGAGTCACACCACCTAGTGTCACCTTCCAGAGCAGGGGTGTGCCAGAAGGCTCCAAAGTCACCGTGTCCTATTGATTGGCACCCAGGGCATCTCTCTTACACCCCTGACAGATCCTGGTGGCGGCCTCCTCCGGAGCTTACTTTCTCCTGCCAGCTCTTCCTATTGGAAAGGCTTTCTTTCCTTGTATAAGATGACTCTTCTTTCCGTACTGACTCCTTCCTTCTGGATCACAGTCAGGCCACTGACCCTGTCCACCAGGAGGTTGTTGAACTATGCATTCCCTCTGAGCCGAGGAGGGTAAGCTGGAGAGAAGGGCTGGGATCCAGAGGAGACAGTCCAGCATCCCAACTTGGTGATGGGATAGGTGGAAGGAGGTGGTAGATAGGCTGGCTCTGGGGTCCTGGCTGGGATGTCCATAGGGCAGAACATGAATAAAGTAGCAGTACCCCAGTGTCCACTTGGCTCCAGCACTGAGGAAGGTTGGATTAAGCTCTCATCTCCAGGGCTTCTCTGTGAGGGTTTTGTCCAGGAAGGGCTGCGGGTTCCTCTGACTTCTCCTAGCAGGGCAGGGGTTGGGGCTTGGATGAGGACCCTCCCAGGCTTCTGATCTTCATCGTATTCACATGCAGGCACTCCCATCGGCTGCTTCAGTGATGCTGGCCAGGAGAGAACTCTGAAGGGGGCTGTGTTTTATGACTTAAGGAAGATGACCATCTCCCACTGTCAGGATGCCTGCGCTGAGCGGTAAGTGCGGGGCCCTGGGAATGGGGTCAGAGACAGCCCCAGACCAAGGTGACTTGCTGAGAGGTTTAGCAGAGCAATGAACCCTGAACTGATCAGATTCCAGTTATCCGCAGTCAAGGAAGTTTGTTGAAGACTTAACATGGGGACACATGAGGCCTGAGTTCTAACCCAGCTGTGCTGAGACCTTGCCCTGTAACTTCTGTGAGTTCTCTGCCGTCCCTTACCTCAGTTTGCTCATAGGTTTAAAGTAAAAGGCTTTAACCCAGGATTCACTGAAAGTATTTCTAGCTGCGTTAGAAAGTTTATTTTCCATCATGTATTTGTAGCAAGTTACACTCTTTCTACTACTGACAGTGTATGCCACGTATTGGTCTCTACTCTCAGTGTGGGGGGGAGTGAGGTGGGATGGGAGGGAACAAGGCAACCTAGAAAAATGGTACTCGTGATTTATTTCTGTCACATTTGTTATGTCATGTAATCCTCACCACTCCTTGATAGCTAGTAGTTAGTTATTCCCATTTTGCAGAGAAAGAGACTGAGACCGTAGAAGGTAAAGGCATGTGCTTTTCAGTCTTGATAAAGCCAGAGTCAAGACTCAGAATATCTCATTTCCTTCTAACAGTTAAGGAAACAGACTCACAGGTAGTAGGTGGCCTTCAAGGCCTCACAGCTAGTCAGCAGCCAGGCAGGAGCTAGAAACTTGTGTTTGGCTTTTAGTCTGGGTTATTTTTTTATGCCCAGATTCACTGTGATGGGAGTTGGAGAATGTTAGCTTCTTTCTGTAGCAAAAATCTGTACGATGTCTTTTAGCTTCCTCTTCTAATCTTTGTTTGCAAAGTATGGCGTTAAAACTGGGAAAAGTGGATGAAGACGTAGCTTGGAGGAGGAAGGCTCTGCAGAAGGCCTGTTTGTGGCCCAGTGAATGTGGCTGGTGCTTCAGACCAGTGGTGTACAGGAGCTTACTCACACAGGTCCACAAAAGTCAACCATTGAAACACTGTGATCTGACTGTTAAACCGTTGATAGCTTGAAATCAGCTCTGATGGGAGTATTTACACCACAGAAATTGACAAACACTAAAAACCAGAGCTCCTTGCTCTCATGCTGGGAACTGGTGAAGCAGCACACCACTGCTCTGGACCCATTTCAACTGTGACCATGGATAGCACCTTAGGGAACAAACAGGAGGATCAATGACAAAGGAAAATACTCTGTTCCTTAGGTTTAGCCAGATGACTGTAAATTAAGACAGGCTGAAGGGGAGTCCGTAAGTCTAGCTTCATACTGATGTCTGTGACCCCTGCTTCTTCACCAGACTCAACCTCAGTCAGCTTCCAGTCCAATTCATGTCCTGGGTGCAGGACTCTCTGCCATTTCCTAACCCAGACTTCAGTGCAGTTAGGATCTCAGCTCTGCCCCAGGCTCCGGACCCACCTCAAGCCCCACTCTTCTTACAGGTCCTACATCTATGCCGGTTTGGAGGCAGGAGCAGAGTGTTACTGTGGGAACCGGCTCCCACCAATGAGCGTCGGGCTGGAGGAGTGTAACCAGGAATGCAAGGGGGAGAAGGGCTCAGTGTGCGGAGGCGTCGACCGGCTCTCTGTGTACCGTGTGCCAGAGCTGCAGCCAGGTTCCAGGAAGAGTAAGTGTGCTGGCTTCACCCTGTGCTCCCCACCCCCAGCCCCTGCTCCAGGCTACCTGGGTGGAACCCATGCTTTCCCTCCATACCACCCTCATTGGCTCAGTCTCTCTGGGCCAGGTGGGGAAGAGTTCAGGTCCATCAAAGGCTGATTGAGCTCATGTCTAAAGTGTTATCTTTCTGTTTTGTTTCTTACTGCAGTTGTAAATGGATAACACAAGTGAGTGTTTTTAAAAGGCGGACATTTATATAGTTCTGGAGACTAAACATCCAATATCAAGGGCTCTGCCATCTTGCTTCCTTCCTTGTGGATTGTTAGCCATGTACCTTGGTTGGTTCATGGTTTGGCTTCTGTCCTCTTGTTTGTGCATTGCTGTTCTTTTTTTTCTTTTAAACTTTTTATTGTGGGTTGAATGAAGGTTTACAGAGCTGATCACCAGTTTTACATACAGCAAATAATATACTCCATTTCATTATAATGATCGAAATCCCCTCTGTGTACCAGCAGTTAACATTATTTGCCTCTATTCACTTTAACTTTTTCATTCCTCCCTGTGTCTTCCAAAATCTGCTCTCTTTAGAACTCCAAAGTGATTGGAGTTAGAATTTATTCTACCAGGGTAGGAGATAATGAACATAAGAAAGAAACCCCGATCTCTAAATAGGGTCATCTCCACTCATTTGTGTAGGGATTAGGATTCCAGCACATGTCTGGGGGAGATGCAATTTAATCCATAACATTTTTGCAGGAGAGAAATAGATCAAGAGACGTAAAGTACAGATCTAGGTAGACCTCAGACGCGCTGTGTGGCTCCCCTTTGTGGGTTCCAGTCTCTGTAAACTGTCTAGGCAGACCTTCATTTCTCAACATGCAGCCGACCAGATCATCAGGAAGTTCCCTAGCTGCAAGACACCCAGATGTACTGCATATATTTTAGCAAGCATCCTTTTAAATGCAGAGCTTAACTTGCGGGAAGGTAAAATCTCTGGGCCCCGAAATGAAGAGGGAACCAAGAACCCTGGCGGTGAGAACAACAGATGATGTTGTGTAGCCCTGAGGCTCAGCGGAGCCAAGTCACCAAGCTTGTTGCCACAGGACTTCAGTTTTCATTTCCAAGCAGGGCAGGAAAGGAAGCCTTGGGCCTGCTAGGGTAGGAAATTTGATTGAAAACTCTGCATGGAGGTGGGATTCAATTTCCCTGAGATATAAATCAGTGAAAGTTTAGATTTAAAAAAAAAAAAAAGATGTATATACTCTCCCACACCAGTTCAGGGAGAGAGAAAGAAAGCCTGTCTGCCTGGACCTAGGCTTCAAGGTGAAAAGAAAATCTTCCTAAGACTTTGTAACCATGGACTTGCATTTGCATTAGTTTGGGGTTCAAATTGATAACTATCCTGGTGCTGGGCCTTCTGGGGGCACCTGGCAGAGATAAATGCAGAGTCTCTCTTGAGAACTATGCCATCAACCCAGGATATGTGCCTGTGGGTAAAGTCGTCCTGAAGATGAGCTTACAATCCAAAATTACAAAACTCAGATGGGACTCATCAACCTAGAGAGGAACACAAGTTAATACAACGTAGAGCAAGACTGATACGAGTTCTACCTCCCACCCCCCAACAATTCCAGCTAAAAGAGCTCTCAAGTAGAGATTATAGCTGAAAGTGACAAACTAGAGAAGTTTGAAACGCCTGTTCTCATTGCAAGGTGGTGAGCCCCAGAGCCACTTAATCTCAGTATACAAAGTCCCTGTAAAACATCATGTGTATACACACTGGCACATATTGGACCGTTTTTTTTTATGATTACTACACAGAGAGCAGCTGTAAAGAGCAGAGGTGGGTTGGAAACAGCTCTGGAGGCTAGATGTCGAGTCAGGGTGTCAGTTGTTGATTCCTTCTGAGGGCCTGAGAGACGTGTTCCATGCCTCCCTCCTAGCTTCCGGTTGCTGCTGGCAATCCAGCCCTAGCACTGTGCAGCTTGTAGATGCATTCCACACCGTGCCTACCCCTGTGTGTGACTCCTTTTCTCAGTGTCTGAGCTCCTCTTTTGTAAGGGATTAGGACTAGGACCCACCGACTCCAGTATGACTTAACTGATAACATCTTCAAAGAGAGATGTTATCCTTATTCTGGGGATGAGGACTTCAGTGTATCTTTGTAGGAGACACCATTCAGTTGGTTACATTTGCCCTTTTCATTTTGAGATCTGCCCCTCTAGACTCTATGTAAACACCTGTTTCTGGATCCAAACTTCCTGTTTTCGCTCATGACAGGCGTCAACAACCGTAAACACCGTTCCTCACCAGAAACTCATTTCCTTTCCTGCAGGGAGGAGTGTCATGTACCGGGGATGCTTCCAAATGCCAGAGAATGTCTCATATGCCTTCCCTGACTCCCTGACACAGACCAACATGACTGTGGACACGTGTGCAGGCTTCTGTTCCCAGAAAGTAAGAGGATGACCACTATAAAAACCTTTTCCTATAGCAACCCCATATGTGCCATGTCCTCAGGAGGGAGCAGGTGTCCAGTCACAAGCCTCAGGGGCTAGGGAGGGAGACTGGCCATCATCGGGGGGCGCTGGCATGGACTTTGAGACTGGATGGGGATTGTCAGGGAAGATTGCAAAGCTTTTCCCAATGTGTGCGCTTGGCACAAATAACAGATGTTAAATTGACTGTGTTTGGAAGGAGGAAAACGCTGGCTCGGGCCTTGGGGAGAGCTGATGGATTTTCTGCTCTTTACACTGAATGTGGGCCTTGAAGCTCTGAGAGGTACTGTGTATGTGTGCACCCAGAGCAATGGAGCGAGAGTCTGTGTAGGGGCTGGGTGGGGTTTGATGCTGTGATGGGTCACTTTTATATAACCTTTCTCACCATGATCTCAAAATGATTGGGTGGGGCTATGCAAATAAGGTGCTTTTGGCCCGTCAAGGTGATTGGACAACTTACCTCTGACACCATCATGCCATTTTTGCAGGTCCCTATATTCCATGCCAGCTCTCAGGTTGACTAAGGGTGTTCAAAGCCCAATAAGGCTTAGCAAAGTGTAGACTCTAGAGTGTGTGAAGTGAGGTTCGGGAGACCCAAAGGCTGCTCCCTAAGACTATTGAGGTCTTGGGCTGGCATCCAGATTAGCTTTAGAATTGGCCTTAATTGGCAGTTGGCTGGGGTTGGTGGCTGGATCTGGTGGGCTGGGGTTCAGGAGCTGTCCTCTCACAGGGCCATGATACTTGGCAACATAACAAACAGAACAGAGTCAAGAAGAGGAGAGGGCCTTGGTGATGGTGATGAGTCTCTTTCTCTAAACAGGGTATAGGGGCTAGGACTTCAGCGTTTCTATTGTGGGACACAATCCAGTCCCTAACATTTGCTCTTTCCAAGTTGAAAGCTGCCCCTGTGTAATCCACTCCTGTTTGAGAAGAGGAAGGCGGTGCTCATGTTCTCCCTTGTTTCAGATGGCAACAGTAGTGGGTGCCATTGCTTGCCAGCAATCCTTTCCTGCTGATGAAGAACAATAGCTAGCTAGCATTTGCTGATCAAATTAGTATATGCCGAGTACTCTTCTAAGCACGCTACATGAGCTAGCTCATTCAAGCTCCGTAGCCCCTGAGAGAGGTACTGTGAGAATCTGCATTTTACAGAGAAGGGCCCTGAGCAGGGAGAGGTCGAGCCAGGACAAGACAGAGCTGGGGTTTGAAGTCAGTCTAACTCCATGGCCTGTAAGCGGTATGGAGGGTGGGAGGGGAGAAAACAGGAATGACTGGCCATAAATGAGTGCACCCCCCTGCTGCCTACCCCCCACTTCCCTGGCAGGGTGGGTGGAACACAAAGCCCGCCTTGCCTCCCTTGTGTGCTTTCCTCTTGCATACACGCTTCCTTTGAAGTGACTCTCCTACGTCACCAGAGTTTCCAAAGTCACTTGCCAAGGATGTCTTGGGCATCGGTGCCGGTGCTGGCGGAGCACAATGCAGTGAACTTGAGAGGAGGTTATTGATTCACAAAGCCCCTGGTCTGCAGAGCTCCTTGTCCCCTCACTCCCTTGGTGGGAAAGGTGGTGTAAGTAGATGCAGCATCTATTTGTGTTCAGCCAACAGCCACTCTGAAAACACACGAAGAAACATGCTGCCCTTCAAGGGCCTTCCCCTTGCCCCTGCAGCTCTCTGCAGAGACCCCCATCTGAATCAAAGGCACTGAGATGGTGCAGATCTGCAAAAGCCAGCCTCCCTCCAGGTCAGCAAACACGATGTGTGCTCCCAAGCCTGTGCAAGCCCCTTCCCAGTTATCTGCTCTAATCTGCTCAGATCCCAGAGGTGGCAGGCCCACATGCAGGCCACTTCAAAGGTTCTTGGAGCCTCATCCAGTACTAAGTGCACTCTGATGCTTCTGGGGTGACCGAGAGGAGGAAGGGTGAGTGCAGACGGGAGAGACGGAGACGAGAAGGAGCAAGAAGAATGCGAGTGGTAACCAGAACAGCTGTGTTCCCCTAGTTTTTGCTTTTTAAATTTCTGATAGGTAAGGAGCTCTGGTAGCGTAGTAGTTACGAATCAGGTTGCGAACCGCAAGGTCAGCAGTTCGAAACTACCAGCTGTTCCGTGGGGGAAAGATGAGGCTTTCTGCTCCTGTAAAGATTTACAGCCTTGGAAACCCTGTACAGGGTCGCTATGGGTCGGAACCGACTCCACGGCACATAACAACATTCCCACAGAACAGAATATAAAGATAGCTGTGGTAGTTTCCTACTGCAGTACCAACAGAAATACCATCACTAGGAGCCCTGGTGTGGTGCTGCGGGTTAATACCCTGGACCACAGAATTGGTTTGCGCTGCAAGATTGGAGCTTCAAACTCATCAGCCGCTTCTCAGAAACCCTATACAGGGTTACTATGAATCAGAACTGACTCGATGGCACTTAATGATTCCAACCCATAGCAACCCTGTAGGACAAAATAGAATTGTTCTGTAGGGTTTCCGAGACTATCAATTTATACAGGAGTAGACAGAGTGATTGGTGGGTTTGGACGGCTGGTCTTGTGATCAGCAGCCCAGTACTTAACCCACTGTGCCACCAGGATGTCTTCGTGTAGGAGACTGGAATCTGAATTCAAGGCTGGAATCTGTCGGGAAAGGCCCAGTATGTCTGCTCTGGGTGAAAACCCTCTCTTTCAACTCGTTTGTCTCAGATCCTGGTAGGTCTCCTCCTGGCCTCAGTCTTTCTGCATTTGTGCCCACTCTCTTCTATGTTTCATCTGCTCTTTTATTTCTCAAAAGTGATCTGAGGAAGACAGAGTCTTAATGACATTACCATGATGCCCCTATCCCCAGATAGGATTACCGCCACAGGTATGAGGGTGAAGATTTATAGCACGTAACTTGGGGGACTCAATTCAGCGCAGAGCAGTAGCCAGGGGCTGTGTAGGGGAAACACCTTCTCTCATCTATGTCTCGTCTGCCCGTGTCCTCCTTTGGAGGTCTTCCGTGGCCCCTTCTCATGCTCACTTGCAGATAGCTTCTAGGACTACCCAGGCACTTGCATCGATGTCATTGTCCCTTTACAGACCATATACTGTTCTGCACCTTACATAACATTTATCATCTGTGGCGCTGTGGGATAATGCACTGGACTACAAGGGCAGTTTGAACTGCAAGGTCGGCGGTTCAAATTGACCAGCCATTCCTTGGAAACCCTATACAGGGTTGCTGTGAGTAAGAACCGACTCGACGACACTTTACCACAAGACAATATGTCACACAAATGTCATTTTAACCATTGTGAAGTGTCTGTAATATTCAATGACATGCATTACATTCACCATGTTGTGCAACTGTTTATTTCCAGAAGTTTTACAATATCCCAAACACACACTCCATACCACCCATTAAGCAATACCTCCCCATTCTCGCAGCCACTGGTAGCCACTAGTAAACATTGGTCTTTTATATATTTGCCTGGTCTAGCTATTACGTATGAGTGGAGTCACACAGTATTTGCCCTTTGTGTCTGGCATATTTTATTGTTTGTACATGTCACTCATGTTGTAGCATGTATCACCACTTCATTTCTCTTTAAGGCTGTGCAATGTCCCGTTGTACATATGTAGCACATAGTCGGACACATGGGTTGTTCTCACCGCTTGGCTGTTGTGAAGAGTAGGACTGTAGGCATTGGTATACTAGTATGCTTGGGTCTGCGTGTCTCAGGTCTTGGGTTCTGCTGGAACATAAATACCATAAAGGATGACTTTAACTAATAAAAATGTATTCCCTCTCAGCTTAGGAGGCCAGAAGTCCAAAGTCAAAGCGTTAGATCTAGAGGAAGGTCCCTGTCTCCTTTCAGCATCCATAGGCCCAGCATTCCTTGCAGTTCTCCATGGGTCTTGGCATCAATCTTCCTTGGATCGAGGAACTTCAGAGTGCAGGGACCCCGAGTCCCAAGGATGCCCTCCACTCCCACCTCTTCTTTTTTGGTGGCAGTGCGCCCCCTCTCTCTGTTCGCTCCTCAAGATACAACCTAATCATGTAGACTGCACCCGACTTCATTAACTTCATAGAAGTGGGGATTTACATACAGCACATTGATGATAGCATCTGATAAGAGCTGATGGCAGCAGATCTCTTCATGGAGATGTCAACTACATCTTAGCTGCTAAACCACTGAGAAGCCTGGCCCAGCCAAGTTGGCACTAACCCTTAACTATCACACCGTGGTTTTAGTTCATTCATATGCATGTATGTATGCCTAGAAATAGGTTTGCTTGGTCATATGGTAATTCTGTGTTTAGCTTTCTGCGGAACCGGAGCAATACTTTTTACACTGGACAGTCTACCCTAGAGATTGTTTTGGAGCAGGACAAACAGAGCTTTCTGGTTCTTTCTAATGACTGCCGAGTATTCCATCATATATTTGTTCTGTCATTTATTTGGAGTCCTGGTATATCACTGTAGGATAAGCACTGGACTGCTAATTACAAGATCAATGATAGAAACCCACTACCCACTCCTAGGAAACTCTATAAGGGTCTCTATGAGTCAGAACTGACTTGACAACACTTAACAGCAACACTATTTATTTGGAGTCCCTAGGCAGTGAAAATGGTTAATGAATGAGTTGTCTGCTAATTGTAAGGCTGCAGGTTCAGGTTCACCCAGGGGCCCTTCAGAAGAAAGGCCTGATGATCTGCTTCCGAAAAAGTCAGCCATTGAAAACCCTATGAGACACAGTTCTTCTCTGACACACATGGGGTTACCTTGTGTCAGAGTCAGTCTCCGAGAAAGGATGTGTATCACTTATTTAACAAATCCCCCACTGTTGAGCTTGTAGTTTCCCACCCGCCTTTTCCTGTCACCAGTAACGATGCAAGGATATCCTTGTACATGAGTGGATTTGTACGATAAAATCCCAAGGAAACGCTAGGTCAAAAAGAATGTGTGTAAATGTTGCCAAATTCTCC